GTTTAGGGTTTCGCCTTCGCGCTAGGGTTTAGGGTTTTGCCTTCGCGCTAGGGTTTAGGGGTTCGCCTTCGCGCTAGGGTTTAGGGGTTCACCTTCGCGCTAGGGTTTAGGGTTTCGCCTTCGCGCTAGGGTTTAGGGTTTTGCCTTCGCGCTAGGGTTTAGGGTTTTGCCTTCGCGCTAGGGTTTAGGGTTTCGCCTTCGCGCTAGGGTTTAGGGTTTTGCCTTCGCGCTAGGGTTTAGGGTTTTGCCTTCACGCTAGGGTTTAGGGTTTCGCCTTCGCGCTAGGGTTTAGTGTTTCGCCTTCGCGCTAGGGTTTAGGGTTTCGCCTTCGCGCTAGGGTTTAGGGGTTCACCTTCGCGCTAGGGTTTAGGGTTTCAGTTTCGCGGGCTAGGGTCTAGGGTTTCAGTTTCGCGGGCTAGGGTTTAGGGTTTCCGTTTTGCGCGCTAGGGTTTAGGGTTTAGGGTTTAGGGTTCTCTCCCCCGAACAGCCTCTCCAATTCTGTTTTATCCTCTCCAGTGATTCATTTGCGACATTGCTTTTTAAATTATTTATTAAATTATTTATTAAATTATTCATTTAATGGATTTAATTTGTTTCTTTAAAATGAAATGGGGCTGCATGCGCTTGCAGGCTGTTGGATTCCCAAAGAGGCGCAGATGAGGAAGGAAAGGAAGACAAAGAAACAGCATTCGTGCTGCCTTCTCTGAACTAGACCACTTGCTGCTGCTGCTGCTGCTGCTGCTGCTGCTGTTGCTGCTGGGGCTGCTCTGCCCCTGCTGCCCTGTGCAGCAGTTAGTGCTCCTGCTAGGCGGCCACAAGACGCAGCGCAACTGCTGCTGCAGTTGTTGCTGCAGCAGCAGCTGCTGCTACTGCTGCTGCTTATGCGCCCTTGTTGCCGAGCGCAGCGTTTTCTGCCTCTGCGCTGGCCTTATGGCGCATTGCAGCAGAAGCTGCTCCTGCTGCAGTTCCTGCTGCAGTTAGCTGCTGATGCTGCTGCTGCTGTCGCATTAAAACTCATCTGCAGAGTTGTATCAGTGGGCCAGTCAGGTTAAGGTTGCAGCAAGAGCTACTAGACTATAAATGAAATTAGCTGCTAGATCATCTGCCTCAGCGTAAAATTGGAATTGCCTCTTCATTTGAGAATTGGCTACTAGCAAATGAAACCAAGGAAAATGGCGGAGCATTTTTGCCCTTTATAAGGCTGCAGATTCTGTTTTTTATGTACTAGAGAATATTTAGAAATATTAGCTTCCAAGAGCTCAGCGTTTAAGGCTCAGGGGCCTTCTCCTCTCAAGGCAAGGCTTGACGTGCTGCGGGTTGGGAGGTCTTGCAGACCATTTCGAGCTATTAAAGACTCTGCAACAGTGCAAAAAAGTATTTAAAATATTAAAAACAACTAATTTAATCAGAACTGTTAACTTTTATCCTCAGGGCAGCATGGCGTGCAGCATGTCCTTGAGGGTCACCCCCGCACGGCAAGGGAGCCCGCCAGTAGTGCATTTGCGGCAAATCTGTCCTCTTTAGCAGCAATATAATAGTTAAAAATTCATTAAATATCATTTTTAATAATATTAGGCGCAAAAAAGCTTTTGAAACCTCTGGAATCCGGCATACAAAGGCTGCACGTGTGAGCAGTGCAGGGAGTGGGCGGCTGCAGGTCCTCCTCCATTCCCTACTGTGAAACGCGGAAATTTCATCTCCCCTAAATAAAAACAAGCGCAAAAAAGAGCCAAATCCGCACAAAAAGCTTTCCCGAGCTTTTATTTCAAGTTTCCCGCGTCAACTCGGAGTTCATGGAGGGGGAACCGAAGGCGGCGGCAGGGTCACCTCGCGCGAGGGGCGTTAGCCCAGCCGCAGTTGCGCATAGTATTA